TGACCGTCACATTATAACGCCTCCACAGCTGAAAGAACATGTTTGGTGTGACGGGGATTCGAACCCGCGACCCACAGATTGCGAGTCGAGCACCCTAACTACCTGACCATGGCGGGCCGCTTTTCATGTGTGAACAACTTTATAATAAGCTTTTCCATATCAAACTAGGTTTCGATACCCGTGGTGGGCAGAGCACAAATAGCCCATTGTGTATCTTTGTGCATAAATTCAAAGAAACAAATCCAGATCAAACAGAATGTTATTTGGCCGTCTAGTTTCCGTACAAATGGGAGAGAGGAAATTATCTAAGCTACCATTGGCCAGTTTATGTTTTTTTTAACTCTTCGTTTTCCTTTATGTAGGACTAATCTGACAATATGTGGCCTTTGTGATACTCGGGTCACAATTGCACAAGTGCTGCTTTCGTGCTATCCTTACGAGTGCAAGCGGGGGCGCAATGTCAGACATTTTTTTCTCGGGGGTTTACCCCTGACGTTGGACAGTGTTATTGGCGACGGTGGCGCTGTCCTGATTGATCATGATTTTTAGTTTTTTTACGGGCCATTGGCCTTTTTACTTATTTCATTTTTAAGCAATTTTTCCTAGCTCAACTATTGCACATTTTGGTCTTTTTTTTTTTTCTACCATTTTTGTGTGTGTACTTTCGGTTTGTTTGTTTTATTTTATGATTATTGATATTTTCCCTTTTTACTGGCCTGTTTGGCGCAGATAACCTTAGTGCTTTGCGCCACAAAACACCAACCTACTAACTTTTCATGTGAACTTAGTGTAACAGAAGAAATAATAAACAGTATTTTATTGATGCGTAAATATATTTTCTTTTCAAAACTCACCTAAATAAAGCAATATAATTTTCTTCTTTTTTTTTAGGAAATTTGTATTATGCATGTATAAATACAATAAAACACGCGAAACGTAAACTCAATAATCACAAGAAACGTCAAATACACACACACATATATATGTATATACACTCACAGTTAAAAGGAGTACAAGGCTACAATAATTACATAATAAATAACTTAAAAATGCAACAAACCTTAAATGACTACATACTTCGTTTGTTCTTTATTAATCCTCCCTCATGGTTTGTTTGTTTGTTTTGAATTTCGCGCAAAGCTACACGAGGGCTATCTGCGCTAGCCGTCCCTAATTTAGCAGTGTAAGACTAGAGGGAAGGCAGCTAGTCATCACCACCCCCCGCCAACTCTTGGGCTACTCTTTTACCAACGAATAGTGGGATTGACCGTCACATTATAACGCCCCCACGGTTGAAAGGGCGAGCATGTTTGGTGTGACGGGGATTCGAACCCGCGACCCTCAGATTGCGAGTCGAGCGCCGTAACCACCTGGCCATGCCGGGCCCCTCCCTCATGGAGAAGGCATAGACATAAAAACATGGAAATATAATACATAGAATGACTTACACACAAAAAACCATCAGAACAAACACTCAAAACAGATAAGGAAGCATCATAGTAAATTCCACACACAAGAAAAAATGCAACAACACAGAACCCAAATGAGGACCAACAAAACACTTCACACAGAAAACTCAGTTGAAACTTGGTACAAGGATATAACCCTGAGAACCACGCTCTTCCAATTTACCAACTGTAGAATATAAAAAAATAAAAACCACCGAATTTACATTTTGAGAAAACCTCTAGAAAAATCAAGAAATATCTTTTTAACCGCGTTTTAAAATAGCATAAAAAAATAGACCTTTCGCCAAAAGCGCCCTTCGCGCATGAAAAACAGACCACTTAGCCAAGGAACGAAAAGTACGACCCAACTAAGTATAAGCCTTAAATATGCCCGTAAGAAAACCCACCAAAGTGCATAGACATTTCTCTAGCCGCGTTCCTTTGCGCCAATAAACCCTAAACACCAACCATTTATTTCTCACGATCTGTAAGAACATGACACGCCATAGTTGAAATAAAATTAAAAACACAATTCCACAGTTGCTGAACCCAATCTCAGGGAAAGAATAAATAAGCAATCGATTCTAACGACATCTGACAAAAATAACAATAACCAGTTGGATGATTTTCCATATGAACCGATTTCACATTTGTTGTAGCTGCATGATACCAGAGTAAAAATCTAACTCGCATAACCTAAACCCAACAAAAGGATCAAAACAAGACTTCCAATACACTTTCTACTCGGTAGGTAATACCATAGAACTCCAAAGATTATGTACTACCGAAGACTACATATGATCCTGTAACGTACAATAGATGTACTTCACAGATAACCCCCCAAAATGGAAAGAAAATTTACCGGAAAGCTTATAAAGAGACAAAGAAACCCTATGTGAAGAGCAAAACATTGGTAACTTGGAGAAAAGCAAAACCATCCAAGCCTCGGGAAGAGCAGAATGCAGGATATCCAAGTGGGAAAACGTCGTGCTCCACTCTTTGGGGCCGTGGGTCCATTGAATAGAAAAACCCACAAGTTGGCCATGGATGGTGTTGACTATCTGTCTTCCTTTTAGATTTATCACTTCAAAAAAGAGAGATGACTAGTACAGAGTCCTCAAGTAGCTTTACTCGAAATTCGAAACAAACTGATTTAAATCTGAGAGTTTTATATTCGAACAGCTTATAAACACAGCTTCACTCAAAGCA